ATATATTAATAATGTTATTATTAATATTTAATGATAAATATCCCAATCACAAAAATATGTAACGAATAAAAATATCGGATGACGCACAACAACGACAGAAGTTATTCGCGCGAAAAACTATATACTTTTTGTAAAAATAATTCTAAACTGATATGTTGCTACACTTATAATCTATAATTTTAAAAAAAACATAATAAAAATTACGTAAAATATCGATGATTAATTTTGATGTCAAATAAAGCATGTATTTGAAATCAACAAAAAGCGCTTACGTCTGACTCGAACGACGTAAAACGAGTCTTACGTTTTTTAAAAATTATTATTGTTCGTTGCTATGCTTCAGATCGTCGTCACTGAAACAAGTCTAGCGGCGAAAAAATTTGTTTCAAATTGCTGTTTAAACTAAAATTTCATTCAATGGCATGTAAAGTGACGAAAACGACACCATAGATAGTAAACATATAATCGAAGAAAATTTTATGTTCATGTTTCTACATGAGGAAGCTGTATCAACGTTATCTACTTTGATTCAGAATAAATTCTGCAACGCATGAGTTTTCATTAATTTTTTTTTGTTCAACAATATTCATTTTCATGTATATATACTTTTTATACATATATTTTCTTATATATCTAATATTTGTATGTTAGCATACATCGTTCATGTATACGCGTTTGTTTATATATTTATATGTCGGTTATACATGCCTTAATTACAGCGCTCCATCCGCGCGTTTCAACCTCTTAATTCATTTATTTATTGTTTTACTTTGTACAGGTATTCTGTCTTTTTCGCACATTAACTTTCATTTATTGGTTTTTTTTTTTTTTTTTTTTTTTTTTTGCAAAGATTCTTTTTTTTTGTTATTTGTCGAATAATTTATAACTTCATTTTTTCTCTCGCTATTATCGATTCTGTGCCCCGAAAAATCATACATATGTTTTTCGTTTTTCGGTGTACTCTATACCGTATACATTGAGTCCTTCAATATTTACCAAGCAACATTCGCACTTGTCTTTTTATCTATGACTACGTTTGTATACTTAATAAATCGAATCATTTGACAAGATCAAAATTGTTGTAAGATTAAAAAAAAAAAAAAAAAAAAAAAATCTAGGGAATCGAAAATCGTGAGTGTCATATTGTTGTCACGCAATATCTCTGTGTTGAATAAAATTAGGGGGAAAAAACTAACGGGAGTCACCGATGGAGAAAACAATAATTGAGGAAATAGAGTATTGGCTAGACAGCAACTTACTAGGGGTATAAGATTGTAACGATAAGGACTTAAGAAAAATATACATCTCAAAATCGACGTCACGAGACCAGCATTAATCGACCACGTTATCATCATGTATTCAAACATACAGAGGGGATATTAAATAGCCATCGAAAAAGAAATTAAAAAAAAATATCATAAAATTAACAACGAACAAGCGCATATTTACATCTCAAACAAAACATAATTCTACAGTTTTTTGCATACTATTTTGCACATCGTTCACTCGGTTTCCTACACCTTAGTATTTCGTATCTCATTTCTTTCGTAGTTTTTAAATATGGAAGTAAAAAAAATCGCACTTGCCAATTTGATTTCAATGACGTAACAATCCAATACAGCGTATACCTTTCATAATTTACGGCTTTTAATTAATAAAGTCTTACTATAATTTGTTCCTTAGTGATGAATCGCAAATAAAGTAGGTAAAAAAAATGAGGTAAGGCGTATTAAATAAATTAACTACTAACTGACCTCATTGGCGCTACGTCTTGCGTGCTTATAATCGGACCTAATACTGTCCACTGTCTGAGGAAGGTCGACCATACTTGCTCGTCATATTGCAAGCTAATCTCATCTTCGACACGAAGCGCTGTCTTCTTAAACTTTTTCCTACGCGGTAACAAATTTTTTTTTTTTTCCTTTAAAATATAATTAAATAACCTACGTACATGAGAAGGCTCTCCCTTTTTTTACGTAGTGCAACGTGGGCTGAAAGCTTGAGGGACAATATGTAATATCTTCGATTAATAAGAACCTCTCTAGGATATATACTTATAAACGCTCTGCTTCAGCTAATTAAACTTCGGCTAAGTATGCGAAGGTTGTTTTGCATTATGTAAAAAATAAGTTTGAGCTGACAGATGGCGTCTTGCTTGGTTGATTAAAATTGGTCCACCAGTAGGTCACAGACCTCTACCGAGATAGATTCCTTACTTGATCTAACTGTAAGCCGGTACATCTAAATGAAGAAAAAACGTTTAATTTCTGTTTATATTATTGACGATGTATTTGAATTACATTTATCTACCTGAGCTTGCTTGTTGGGTTCCAGACGTAACAGACAACCGATTTGTTGTGCCCTCATGTGTACGATGCCAGCGCAAACAAAGTTATCTGGGTTAGGATCGATGCCGTCTAACAATTGCATGCCAAAGCCTTGTAATTTTGTGCGAACCTGCGCCAAGTCCATTGGTGTCGTCGCTTTAAATATTTTCTGTGATCGTTGCTGGTTGATTCTAAAATAAAGAAGTAATAATAAACATTCTTGTAACGTTTGAATGATTTTCAGCTTAACGTTTTGAATTTTTATGATACTCACCCTCCTAGATTTTTCCACCTAGCGAAGAATGACTCACCATTCATTTCCGTAGGTTCAAAGAACTTATTTATCGTTAAAGGTAACTTCATCGTTATTTTTTGTGGTAAATTATTATAGAGGAAAGAAATTATCACACTAGGAGCATCTGAAAAAGAAAATTTACCAAGATTTTAACAAAAACGTTTACCTGCAAGGGATGAAAAAAAAATCATACAATAATTACCAGTGAAGTCATCAATACATTCCGCATTGATCAATTGTTGAATTTGAGCACCAGCCTCTAACACCGAATCCACAGGCTTGACTTGTACGGCTAATTTTATTTGATTTTCGTCCGACCACGACAACTGCGGTTGGAAATTGTGAAGGGCTTGTTGCGTCTTGTTTCCATAGAACAGCCCAATACGGCCGAGATTTTGCCTGAATTCCGACTTCACTCCGATTTGGATAAGATCATTTTCGAAGAGTACTCCATTGTTTTTGCAAACGAACCTGTAAATAAAAAAATCATTGTAGAAAATAAAATTTATGATGAGCTGCAAAAATCAAGCATCAAATCAACCGACTTTTTAGCATTGTAGGTAGCCTGAGTCCCGTTAGTTGCCGCCTTGTTCGGTTGGTTGTAATAATCTCCCAAAACGTCAAACAGCACGCCCGAGTTGCTCGATGGTTGAGATGATGGTGGGGTCGAGAGACCCAGTAAGTCTGCAGACGTATTGTTGACAGAAATAGATGCAACAGACACTGTCGTCTCGCCGTGATGATTGGTGTTGGGTGCTGGACTCTTGCTTTCTCGAATTTCGTTCTCGGGCACGCGACCTGGTTTCTTTTTTTTCAATACCGCCAGAATCGAAGACTCTCGTTCCGGGAAAGCTGGCATTTCTTCAAGGACAGTTGCCTGCAATGCAAAAAGTCGTATATAACAAACTGCGTCAAGGATTGAAACCTATTTGAGAAGAAACCCACGAGAACGTCAGAGGATGCAATGATGCTCAGTTGTAGATACTCGGAGGCTCGCTGTTGAAGTTCGGCGTCGGCACTGCGTAAATTGCTGTCTTGCTTAAACACATCCTGAATTTGACCTTTGATCTCGGGGAATAGGTTGACGAATTTAATATAAGTCGACAAGAGTAATGCTCGAGTCATGGGAGAACACAAGTGATACTGCAAAAAGAATCGTGATGGAAAAAAAATTAATAAAGTTATTACAATTGATATCCTTTTCTATCTTACTTTGGAATGTAATAGTTGGAACTGCACCGAAGGCGATGAACGTTGATCACCGGCAATCAAGTTACCGAATTCTCCGAGAATATAGCCGCCAACTTTTACCATATTTTCGTGACAAGCCGGAGCTTGTAATGCCTAATGAACGGAAATATTATTTCAAGTTTTTGGTTAAAAAAAATAAAAAAATAAAAAAAATAAAAAAAATCACAAGTCGATTAGATTATAGAACAATTTAGATACCTCAAAGACCGTCTTTGCCGCGTAACCTTGTACGTCATCTCTATTAATGACGATCTGAATGACACGATACCAGACCTCCTCTGACACATAATCACCAGCTATCCTGATGAGATTCAGAATAACATCGACGTACCAAGTGTAATCCGTGGCATATTTCTCAGCTAATATAGCGACTTTGAGCACCATCTCTTCCCTGATCGAGTAATCTGCAGTCTCGAGGTAATTCAGCATCTCCTGAACAATCTCTTCGGCGTTGCTCTTGTCACACATGGCGTACAGAAGATCGACTGCTTGCTGCCTCACTGATACATCCTTCTCCATTTTCATCGATAGAATAACGACCTCTTGGTGCTTTTTGACAGCCTCGTGGGAGAACTCGGATGTGGCTAGATGGCACATTGACTCGAGCGCTAAATAACGTAAGTTCGTTTCGCGATTCGAGAGGAATTGGCCAAGTTGGTTGCAAGCACGTACAAGCAAGTTTGGCTCGCTGTCGTTGTGGATGATCAAGCTGATAGCTTCGAAAAGAACGGCATTTTTAGCGTTGGAATGCTGGACTTTCTTTGACTTTGGTGGCTCCTGAGTTTTGTTCAGTATCGTCTCGAGACATTCATTTAGTCTTCCTCGTACGCCGGGATCTTCGGCTACATGAAAAATGACATTCAAATTATTCTGAAGTTACAATGGTATTTTTTAACAAAAGTATTTAAAGTACCTGGAGGAGTATAGTTTTGCAAGAGTCTTAACAATTTAACAGACAGCCAGGGTGCAGGGACAAAGTAATATGTGTAATCTTGAAGATCTGTATAACTTGATGTAACGATCTAAATGATAAAATAATATGCCAAGCTATTAATGCATGTTAAGATAAAAAGTATCTAAAAAAAAAAATCAGATAATTCTTACCCTACTCAGACGGGAAACAGCAAGACTCACGCACCCCTTGTATTCATCGGGATTTCTTTTTACAAGAGCATCAATTAGAGATGCTGCCGCGGTAACAACTCCCAAGTGCTGATCATTTAGTAAATGAATAATACGGGAAGTCCATTCGCCGTCTGTTATTACTTCTGGTGCGGTTCGCAAAAGTCGTAAAAGGCACAGGGCGGCACTTTGTTTTACGACGTCCATGGTATCTCTATAATAAAACAATTTTAATCAATGCATAAATTAAAGATAATTTAAAGAAAATGTTGAGTTCTTTATTTAATTATAAATAAAAATGTATTTTTTACCCTGATACAAGAAGTTTTGGGATCTCCTTTCCAAAGGCCTCGGCCATATCTTTGCTTCCAATATTTGCAATGCATTGTAAAGCTAAATTAACATGAATTGGATTACGAGAACTAAGGTCATTTTTTATACTCTGGATGATTAACTTAATTAAATCACTATTTGTATTAACTAAGACTGATATGAAAAGATATCCCTGAAATAGAAAAATGTTTGTCTTGAAAATATTCTAGCTCTGTATTAAAAGATAAATCTAATCAAAAAAATATGTACAATCTGTTTCTCTGAATACTTGTTGGATGAAAGCAGATTCACCGCCTCCATATGTCCGAAATCAATGTCATGGCCAAGCAAAAAGATAAATAGCAGCTTGCATACGTATTTTTTCTTTTGATAGCCATCAAGGGTTTTATCTCCTTTGAATTTACTCCTGATGTTTGCTAGCTCTTTATTTATCCTTTTTATCTCTGCCTCTTTGCTTTTACCTGAAATGTAAGTAAATTTAAAAATGATATCCAGTGTAATCAAAATTCAAATAAACGTTGGTAATTAAATAAACATTAAAAATACGTTAAATACATTTGCTATGATTAAAATAGGTGGTGATATAAATCAAAAACCCCGAATGCTGAGAGATACATCAACACTTCAATGTGTATTTAGTTAATGATTTCAACACCGTGTGGCAATATGCCACTTGGCCTATCATCCAATCAATTACATATGTTACCATAATCATAAAAAAAATTATTATTATTATCTAAAATTGCAGATTACAAAGATCTTAAATATTTAAAGCAAAATAATAAAAAGGTTTTACTAATTTGGTGTTACATTACATTATGTTGGAGTTGAAAAACGTCCGTTTTATCAGAAAGATAGGCTTATATCAAAACTCCGCCCCCAATCCCTATGCTTTGCAAATGGAGACTCATCTCATAACATTTTGCCTTGAATGGCAAGTCTCAGCAATACATTTTTATTATTTTCACGCTTGCTCGGCCAACAAGAATATAACATATAGAATACAAAAATGTAGTAAATTTATCAACTAACAATTATTTAGTAATAATTTTATTACAAAATATCTATAATCTAATTTAAAATCTATGTATTTGTGTCTTTTATTTACAGTAAATTTAGTTGTTTTAAATAATTGCATAGCATGTATTTACCGTGAAAATAAAAGTCCATCAACATGATAAGCATTTGCTGTGGAAAAACTTATATTATAAACAAAACTATGTACTTACAATTCCTTATGTCTGAAATGAACACAGCAAGACCACGCATGCCATCTCCTCTAACAGCAGGCATCTTTATTTCTTTTCAACTTGACTACCTGAGAAAAGATTTTTTCTTAAGTCACAATGCTGACAATGTAATAAACCATTTTTTTGTACCAATTTAAAATAATAATAATAATATAGCAACATAATACAAAGAATAAGTGGCAAGGGATTAGAATTTAATTGATGAAATAGGAGTTAATAATAGAATACAGGCATAGACATCGTATGTCCATAAATACAATAAAAATATTCATTCAATTCAGCAAAACACGAAATCTTGTTTTCTTTCCTCGATTTCATTCTCAAAACTGATTTTTTTCTCATCCTTAATTAGTTTAAACATCTAGTACTCCAACAACAGTTATTGCCTCAAATAACTTGTATGTGCATTAGTTTGGATAAAACTTTTTTCTTTCAAGAGAATAGAAAAAAAAATTTAATCACAGTTGCAACCACCCAGTATATTCACACTACAAAAAAAAAAAAAAAAAATAACATAAACAAAATTAAGTATTAAAACGCATCAGAGTATCACTTGGCAATAAATCAATACACTAACAGCCAGAGAGGAGGTGAATGTGATAAAAAAAATCTTTGCTTACACGCAGAAACCTCTCTGGCTCTCTTTGCATTGAATGAATGATAAAAATCAATTAGTAAACTCGAGTACAATACAAAGTGTCTTTAAATTCCTCGTTCTCTTTAACAGACGCCTTATCACCATTTCTCCACATCACCACTCGATTCTCTGAAAGTCTGCACAGCCTGATATTCATTTGCTGAGCATTTGCTTCATTTTTTTTCAACCAGCCCCGAAAAAAAACACATACGCGTCACCAATAAAAAAAAAAAAAAAAAAAAAGAAAAGAAAAAAAAAACCCAAGCAAGTGTCGTATCCGAGCACGTTACTATACCTACTGTCAGAATCGCACGCAGAGTAAAATAAATTAAGTGATGCGAGACTGTGAGTTTCAATTAAAGCCAACTCCAACAAGCCTCTGGCTGACGTCTTTTTGACAGATAGCAGCAGAAGTAGGTACGAAGTAAAGCCCAGGATGAGGCACAGCAAAGAGTAGTCCCGTGTCAAGCGGGTCATCGACTGCGGTGAGGGGGTGCTGGGGGGGGGCCACGAAAGAGTATAGCTAGAGCGGCCGCTCGTCGATACCGAGGAAAGAAAGAGACAGCCTGACACTAGAGTGCCACTGCTAGGGTTCAGGCAGAACACACAGGCTGTCTACTTAGTACCTTAGTACCTCAGTAGTAGGTATATGAGTGCAAGCAAGGAGAGCTTGAGAGGGTGAGAGAGGACGTGCTTGTGAGAAAAGCTGAGCAAGGGTGATGCTACTGATGCTCCGCACCCCGCACACGCTTACTGACGTGTATATGATGCACATATATGTAAAATGTACCGGTTGACTTATCTCTTTCTCTCTCGTTTTATAAGTCCCCATACTCTACTCCCCATCTCGCTTGTGCTAATGTGCTCCTGCTCCATAGGGCGTCCAAAGGCACACATACACACACACACACCCACACACACACATGGGTGCACATATTGCAATAATCGACCGACTGAACTCCTCGAGAAAGACGTGAAAAGCGAACACGTAGGAACAAACGTTATCCTTAATATTTAACCCAAACAGAACAAGTCGTCATCTGTTAAACGATGTGAGGGCGGAAAAAAAGGGGTGGTTATTCCAGGCTATGTACTTACACACTACGAATAACTAGTGACGAGAAGACGTCTTCAAGGAGATTGCAACTCCTAGTACAGCTACAGGACCAGACCACGACCAGGAAGTTTATCTGGGAGTGCACACTAACACATACACACTGATCCTCTTTGACAGGGCCTAGCTGCAGGGCTGGTTCGGGCGCACACGCCCACACTTTCGGAGTCCTCGACTTGTTCGGGTATAGCCCGCAATGCAGCGAAACCCTTTTATGCGAACGAAAGCCAATATGGTTTTTTTGCTGATCTACTGTTTGGATGGCGATTCACTGTGCTTATGTGTAACTACATTAACTACAAGAATTCCGCGCACTTATCGCCATTTGCACAACCGCCGACCGGACGGGGACCACGCACGCACTAACTATCTTGTCTGCTCTCTATATAATATCTATACAACAGGCTAGTGTACTATATATAGTATACACTTGCTTCAACGGTGATGCCTGATTTACTATCTCTGCTGTTAATTAAAAATCTCTATTCACGACGTAAGTGTAAGTCAGTAAATATCGCTAGCTCTGTCTAGTGATAACGACGACGACGACGACGACGACTTGACTGAACTGGACGGCCAACACATCCAAGTTACAGTTGACTTGAAGTTCAGACCCTGATAAATATAATACCACTAGCACGTTTTTCTCTTTTGACTCCGATTATTATGCACTGTATAATGTAGGTATTATATACTTTTGCGTTAAGATGGTAAGATGGTGAATTTTGGAGTCTGCGGTATGCGATATAAGGAGAAGAAACGACAGAAGAGGAATCATTCTCCGACATCAGCGCTAGCTCCACTTGTATATTTTTATGTATCGTGGTGAAAATTTGAAGTTGTGAGAGGTGCCCTTACACCCTGTATGGTATGGGTCCTGTCCTGCGTACGCAATAATGTAAGAGTAATGCATTACCAAAATAATACAATTTATTTTATTATGTATTAGGTACACCTCTGTAATAAAAGCAAGTTTTATATAAGTGGAGAAAATTATTTTTTAGCAATACAAAAATCAAAAAGCATGACGTATCGACAACGCTGAAAACTAGTGCGATATTTGCACAGTGTGATCGCGAAACGTTCAAACGATGTTGTAATTTTATGTTGAAAGTTGTTTTTTGTTTACTAGTTAAATAATTATAATTCAAATTTAAATAAGTATTAATCGTTCTAGTTTATTCTGCAAAGCTTAAAAAGTGACATACAACTATTGAATCAAAGATCCATTGTAGCAACTCAATACCTGCCTAATTTTTGATAATTACTATCAACATTTTTTACAAACAACATCAGATGATCAATGATTAAATGTAAATTTATACATAAACACAAGAACCTTAAAAATTACAAAAACCTATCTATACCCATTTACAGTTCATTTCTCTTTAACTTTTCCACTAATCTCTCGTGCAGTACTTCCATCCTAGTGTGTAAAGCAGGTTGCCCCCATTTGGTTTTTTTAGTCATCTTTTTATTGATCTCTATCCTTTTCTTCTGATATTTCTTTATAGCTTCTTCTCGTTCTTTCATAGCTTTGATTTTATCTTCTTTTTCTAGTCGCCTCTGCTCTGCTTTATATTTCCACTGTTCATTCCAAGAGTAACCTTGCTTTTGATTCGATAAACTGTAAATTGACATACATTCAATTGCCTATTCTCAACGTAGTATCACTTAAATATTAGACAATCATTACCCTTTTTTCGACTCTTGATCAGGATTAGATTGTGCACATCCTTTTTCACTTTTAGTTGATTTATAAAAACTTCGTTTGATGGCAGTGTTCCGTTTTTCTTCGTATTGTTTTACTGGGATGGAATAAATAATTGATTAATAAGTGTGAATGACATTGCACCGTATATATATATATATATATATACCATAGTAAAGAGTTTGAAATTGTAGAGAAAATTATTTTAATGTTTAGAACCTTAAGTAAATAACCTTCAACATTGTCTACCTTTGTATTTGAGGCTGTATTTTTGCTCCCGATATTTTTTCTTGTTAAATGGTTTTTTAACTTTGTCACCGCTCTTGTCTCCAACTTTCTTCACTCTCATGTCGTTTAAAGGATTAGTTTTCATCTTGTTTTTATGTTTAAATACACCTACACATGTGCGTTGCGGGAGAAAAAAAAAATCAACAAGCAGAAGCAGACAACCGCTGGGTATGTTCGAACCCCGAACTTCGGGGTTGAGCTATATATAGTGCACAATTAAAAGGCACGTAAGTACGAGTGTAAGTTAGCGTCAACCTGAAACCTGAACTAACACTACTAACTGTCGGTGACAACTGTGACCTGTGACAAGTGACAACTTGACAAGTGACCGACTGACCGTGTTGGGTTCGGTAGGTTCCGCTTTCCGCTTCCGCATCTCCGCAGTCAACAAACTCCGAAATATCGGGTGGCATAGGAGTGAAAACAGCAAAAAATATCGAAGCTTGTTGATATACGGAACCCACCGACAATTAAAAACTTGCCGCAAATAACACACAAAATTTTAACTTTTTATTTTCTATCTATGAAATTAGTTGCGGCTGGTTTGTATTGTTTATAATTGATAAAGTGGCTCTACTGTAAATATAGTATAGTTATTTGGATCAGCGCCATCTAGCGTTGCAGATTTCTGAACTAAAAAGTGGCCCTAAACTTCTGAAACAGAACTTTCACGTTTAGAGCCATTTAATTGATTATAAACCAGCCGCAACTTATGATGAAGCTATAAAATAAAAAAATAACGATACATGTGTTTTTGGCGGCAAGTTAACAATCTATTTCTTACCAAAAAGTTGACCTCCTATGTGTTTATACTTTTAAAGATAAATTTTCGAGCAAAAGATAGATTGTTAACTTGCCGCCAAAAACACACGTATCGTTATTTTTTTATTTTATAGCTTTACCATGAGTTGCGGCTGGTTTATAATTAACTAAATGGCTCTAATCCTGATTGCTCTGATTCAGAATTTTAGGAGCCACTTTTGGCCAAAAAATAAAGACCGCTAGATGGCGCTGATCCAAATAATTAATGCTATTTACTGTAAAGTCACTTTATTATTCATAAACTAACCGCAAATAATATTATAAATAGAAGATAAAAAGTAAACATTTTTTATGCTGTTTGCGGCAAGTTTACAATTGATCTTTTATCCAAAAATCGACCTCTACAAGTAAATAAATATTCACCTTATCTTATACGGCTTATAAAATCTACCATATTTACAAAATTACAATACTTTAGACCTTTTACCATTAACTCACGGAAGCACAGCCCTTTAACTTTATAGTTTAAATAAACAGTTAACTTATATAATATGTAAGTACCAAGATTTGTGTTACAGAAATCTTGAACAACGTTTAAATAGATACGTAAAGTAATAAGTCCAAAAGAGACAACTGAAGAAAAAAGGCTTAAAAAAGAAGTTCAGTCACACAGGAAGAGTCTCCTAAAAATGGAGCATTGGATCTCACTTAATGAGAGAAGGTTTGGTTCTTTATTTATTTATAATACTTCAAATTTACTTCTCTGTAATAAATGTATTTTTTATTTAGTGAGATCCAATGCTCCATTTTTAGGAGACTCTTCGTGTGACTGTGCTTCTTTTTCAGTCCTTTTTTCTTCAGTTGTCTCTTTTAGACTGATTAATTCACGTATATATTCTACTGTTTTTGATGCTAGTTGAGACTTTTAACTTGTGCGTTATCAAACTTTGTTATTGTAATATTAAAACCTCACAACATGAATGTGTGATATATTGCAGAGGAACATGTATCATATGTGCATAAAAAAAAAAAATTACAGATATCAGAGACTCAAAGTTTTTCAATCCAACATGGACCATTACAAAATTTTTAAGGATTTATCAAAATGAATTTATTATATAAAACAACTTGTTAACTTTTAATATTTAAAATCATTTAACAGTGAACACACAAGGTCATTTAAATTAAAAAATTAATCAAGGTAGGATGGGTAGAATCTGCTTCTGCAGACTTACAATAAGATTTAAGAGCTGCTTGTATAATCATCATCAATTATTTGTAATGTAATTTTGTAAATATGATAGATTTTACAAGCCGTATAAGATAAATAGAATATTTATTTACTTGTAGTGATCGATTTTTGGATAAAAGATTAGTTGTAAACTTGCCTCAAGTAGCATAAAAAATGTCAACTATTTATCGTCTATTTATAAGATTATTTGCGGCTGGTTTATAATTATTAAAGTGACTTTACAGTAAATAGCATTAATTATTTGGATCAGCGCCATCTAGCGGTCTTTATTTTTTGGCCAAAAGTGGCTCCTAAAATTCTGAATCAGAGCAATCAGGATTAGAGCCATTTAATTGATTATAAACCAGCCGCAACTTATGATACAGCTATAAAATAAAAAAATAACGATACGCGTGTTTTTGGCGGCAAGTTAACAATCTATTTCCTACCAAAAAATCGACCTCCTATGTGTTTATACTTTTAAAGATAAATTTTTGAGCAAAAGATAGATTGTTAACTTGCCGCCAAAAACACATGTATCGTTATTTTTTTATTTTATAGCTGTATCATAAGTTGCGGCTGGTTTATAATTGACTAAATAGCTCTAATCCTGATTGCTCTGATTCAGAATTTTAGGAGCCACTTTTGGCTAAAAAGTTAAGACCGCTAGATGGCGCTGATCCAAATAATTATTGCTATTTACAGTAAAGTCACTTTATTATTTATAAACTAGCCGCAAATAATCTTATAAATAGACAATAAATAGTTGACATTTTTTATGCTGTTTGCGGCAAGTTTATAATTTATCTGTTATCTAAAAATTGATCTTCTACATATTTATACTTTTTGCTGAATGCTGATTATCAACAGCTGATATGCTGATGCTGATTGTTGTTATTTTCTTTTATACTTATATATATATTTATATTTTTCTCGTCTCGTAGCTGATATGGTTAGCTTCTGCTATTCGCTATGTGTTGGAGAGAGGAAGTAACAACAACCAGCGTATCAGTAAGCTTCTAATTCTTCTAAATTCTGAATCGAGTGCAGATAATTCTCAATCTTATAAGTACTTTAGTATATTAATTAAAGTTGATGAATTCTGAAATGTTCAGAACTGACAGATCGACGCGTTTTTTTACTCTCACTCATAACGTTAGAAAGTGTGACGGAGTCTAGTTTGTACAAAAACGAGAGAAAGTCGACTAAATTTAATGCAGTGTTCAAGTATCGCATGTGTGCGTAATAAAAACAGAAAAATTATTTTGCCGTAAGTTAACATATAGGTATGTACATATTTCGTCGTTAGTTTTGTTGTAAATTTATAAAGTTTCCGTTATCCTTATAGCATTTCGGCATCAAAGTTTTGGTAGGTATTTGCGTTGTTGCTTTACGTGATACTGCAATATGCAGGGAGGACAGCGTGGATAACAAAGAGAGGCTTCTTCATTCAATGAAAAATCCTACATAATAGTATTAGTATCGTGAACGACGTCATCAACGAATTTTTAATAAAAGGTATAGTGACGAATCGAGTTTGTAGTCAATTTAACATGACGTATGTACTTACTAATGTTGAACTGTTTTTAATGATCTAACGTTTTGATGTTTAATTTTAAGCAGTGGTAAAAAAATAGGGTGCGAGCAGGAAGAGAAACTTAGCTGACAGCTGAGGCAGCCTTTTACCTTTAAAAAAAAATACAGCAGGAAGAATGCTGGAAACCATGGGTCCGGAAAATGTCAGCGGAGTTTGTCTCCAGCAAAATGCATCACTTCCCATAGATACAGCTTGCCTCAGTGTTGTTAATAAGTTGGAGCATTCTATAACTTTTCTCAGTGTCTTTGATGACTGTTTTACGGTATGTATATACATATATTTGTAACTGATTCATTATTTCCTCGTAAGATTATTGTTATTTTTTTTATCATTATGTCTGTTTCAAGTATTGTTGACTATTACTTGAAATTTTTTTTCGTCCCAAATGCAACATATTTGAGTGTATATATAGTTGACACTACTGCATCATTAATTTTGATAGTCGTAATTCTCTATCACTAGAAAAAAGGTTCATTTTTAAAAATTTACAAACAAGTCTAGAACTAAGATTTTCCAGCAGTTTATTTATTTTCTAGTGTGATGGTCAACCTGTAGTAGATATACCAGCACATGCCAATACCACTATTCAAGTATCCACCAAATATCCTTTACGTTTGTTTTACAATGATTCTGGAGCAGAGAAACCATTTATTTGGTGTGGGTAAGTAACCAAAGAGATTTTTCGTCCATTAAAATTAAACATCCCTATAATTTGTTATACTGGTTTTATAGAGAATCTTACTCGCTACAAGAACATGGCAGATATGGTTGGAATGTTACAGGAAACAATAGTTGTTCCAGTGTTGACACATTTTATGAACCATGGAGCCCATACTTACGTAAGTTTAATGTATCAATTATGATTGAATTTTGTTTATATTATAAATTTGTTTAATACTTATTAAATTTTTACAATAGCACTCCTGGCTGCCCTTATGGTATATGTACTTGTACTTGTGGTATTGTACTCTTCCAAATTCATCATCAACGTCGTAAAAATGTATTTAAGGTCCCCTACGGAGGGTCAAGGAGTATGTATTAGTTTTTGTATGCGAATTTTTTATGATATGAAACTTTTTGTATATAGTCTTTAAATTTTACAGGTCTTAGATGGGATTCAAGAATTAGAGTCTACTTCCCAAATACTAACAGTATCAAAGACTGGTACCAGGATGCAAGCATTAGATGCTTTTAGAGGGTAAAGTAACTTTTTTATATAAGTTATGATTTTTGAATGATAAATAATAGCACCAAAATCTAATGTCTTGCAGAATCGCTGTGTTGCTGATGATATTTGTAAATAATGGTGCAGGAGAGTACGTGTTCCTGAAACATTCTGCATGGAATGGTCTTACAGTTGCAGATTTAGTCTTACCCTGGTAACTTACTTTCATATTTAACTATAATATTAATAGCTTAGAATACATATCAGATTGTAAAAATAAATTTGATATTCATGCAGGTTTGCGTGGGCCATGGGATTTGCAATCGTTAATTCAATTCGTGTACAACTTCGAGTGTCAGTAACTCGCAAGAGACTCGTTGTCAAGCAACTGTCACGAGCAGCCAAATTGATTCTTCTTGGTCTGTTGATTAATTCTCAGCAACCTCGGCATACTAATTTTTATATCACTGAATTACGATTTCCGGGTGTTCTTCAACTTTTGGCCGTCTCATACTTTATTGCTGCTTCGATTGAAACTTGCTTTGCAAGCGTTCAAAGAACTTTTCAGGCTGGACGTTTCATATTTCTACAAGATATTATAGAACGTTGGGCTCAGTGGATCATTGTGTTTGCTATCGTGATGATTCACATCTGTATAACGTTTTTGCTCAAAGTTCCTGGCTGTCCGCGTGGATATATTGGACCTGGAGGCTATCACTCCCATGGTCAGTATGCAAACTGCACTGCTGGGGCAGCTGGTTACATCGACAGACTTGTTTTCGGTGACCATATGTACATGAAGAAATTGAATGCTGTTTATGGACCCACACTTCCCCACGATCCAGAAGGTAATGACAAGCAAAGTCTGTTTGACAAATAAAATTACATTCAAACGTATTTTAACCAAAATTGCTGTTATAGGTTTGATGAATACGTTATCGGCAGTAATTATTGTATTTTTGGGAGTTCAAGGAGCGCGGATTTTCGTAACCTACTACCAAGCTGAATCAAGAATAATGAGATGGGTGGCTTGGTCTGCACTAACGGTATAAATTCATTTCGTTAATTATCATTAGGTACTACAAGCACATCTTTCATCAGAACACATGAAAACTATTATTTTTTACAGGGTCTGATTGCTGGTATTCTGTGCGGTTTTAGCAAGGAAAAAGGAATGATTCCAGTTAACAAGAACATGATGTCGTTGTCTTTCGTTTTGTGTACTTCCAGTTTAGCATTCTTGCTGTTTGCAGTTCTATACTATTTGATTGATCACAAGAAACTTTGGAGTGGCAAACCTTTTATTTATGCAGGTAAATAATTTACTTTAATATTTGAAAGTTTACTCATTATTTAACCAATTATTTATATAAATTTTTATTGTAGGAGCTAATTCTATTTTGCTGTATGTGGGACATTACTTGACCATGGGTCTATTTCCATTTATGTGGAATTATCCAGTTACACCAACACACGCAAGTGTATTAGCAATGAACCTATGGACAACAATGCTATGGGCTGTAATAGCCAAGATTTTGTACAAAAAAGAAGTTTTAGTTACTGTCTAAAAAAATTGCAAACCATGAAGTAATAAGTACTAAGACAGTTCCACGGAAAAAGAGAAATTTGTGATTACACATAAAAAGAGATATGAAAACTCTGAATTGGTTGTGATGCGTGCCCAAAAAAATTATTCATATTAATGATTAGCACAGTATTTTCTAACATTTGTTTATTCGATTGTTTTTACAAAAATAAAAAAATAAAATATTTTTTAAATAAGTTGTATCATTAAAGTAATAAATACTTTTTACATTAGTATCAAAAATCAAACGAGTCTTACATTTTCTTTAAAAAATATTATTTTATACATTTCGTTCCTCCGGTTTCTTGTATGGCATTCCAATAATTTTGAATATGTCCTCTTCACAACTAATATTTTCAGCATTTCCCGGTGTACCTAAATTTCGCAACATAAACAATATTACTTTTTACAACTAAAGGAATTATTTTGTTTCATTTAATTACCTTCAGGGGTCAATTTTTTAAGAGTATATTCATTCAACGTGTACTTTTTTTCCAATGCATGCATTCTCATATTCTGGTTGAACAAATCGCTTCCTGTGAAGTACAGTACAGCACAGTAATACTGGTCATGGGGAGCTAATCGAATATCTATTCTTCTAAATGGTTTATCTTCATCCAACCGACAGACACCCTAAAAAATACCTCGTTTTAAAAGAAAAACCAAAGTCGGTATCATTTATTTTACTATTAATTTGATAAATCATAAAATGTTTCAAATACCATAAATTTTGAATCTCCGTGCGAGATAGTATCAGTTATCAACTTTTCATCCTCGAGTTTTTTAACAACGGATTTCAAGAGTGTGGAGTGTTTTTTTGCTTCTTTACTTTCCGACGTGTAACTTGGATGCGTCAAAAGAACATCGATATCACCGCTCTGCTGTTTTCCACGCCTGTAACTTCCGCAAATAGTGACGATGTAATCCTTATCAATATCAGTGATGGATTTCTTTACCACGCTTTCGAGAGCTTCAATCTCTTCTCTGGGAATCTTGGTCTCGAAGTCTTCAAAATACCTATATATATATTAACAATAATAGTATGTAATGCATCATTCGGCGCTTTAACGCTATAAGAACTTTTTTATTACTTTAGGCCAATTTTTTGGTGGTGCGTCAGCTTATCCTGATTTTTCTTCAAATCCTCGATCGTCGTAATTCCAGCATTGACCAGCTCCTTAGCTTTGGCAGGACCGATTCCGGTGATTCTCGTCAGCAAATTGATCGCCACATTGCTCTCATCTTTCCTTATCTTAACATTGAAATTCCCACTATTTGTTTGCATGAAATTATGATTAAAAATTGATATAACTTACATCCTCTAGTTTCCTCAGTTTTCCGGTATCGAGAAACTCGTCGATCTTCTTAGCGATTTTATCGCCGATTCCCGGGAGCTTTTTCGCTTCTTTGCCGGATTTGACTCTCTCGGGTAAACCAGCCAGAGTGTTTGACGCTTTTCGGTAGGCGTTGTATTTAAAGACATTTTTGTTCACGTTGCGCTCGTAATTTGCCAGCTCTAGATTATTCAGTAATGTACAAAAAAACGTTTATTTAGATTATGAGTCTACTTTCTACGGAAGCCCGGTCATATCACGACATTTGCATAAAAACGCGTTAGCTATATAAGCACGCACACAAGAACAAGTAGAGTGCACAAAAACACGGATAAAAGATTAATTGTAAACTTGCCGCAAGTAGCATAAAAAATGTCAACTATTTGTATATAANAAAGTATAAATATTATACTCGTCTTATATGGCTTATAAAATCGACCATACGGCACTACTTATGATAAAAACTTATGATTACTACAAAATGATAAAATCCAAAGTAGATATATATGTATAAAGTCTCTTGAACAAATCTCTTTTCCACGTAACGATGTAACAATTATAAGCTGTACTTAAATAAATGAAATAAAAAACGGTCTGTTTTCTCGTACGTCCGTACGTGTTTTTGTGAAGATGTCGTGACCGCGGTCTTCCGCGGGCTTCGGCCGGCTTCCGTAATTTTTGTATCAGCGCTAATTAAAAAAAATTGTAAAAAAAAATAATACAACCAGCATTTAGCGGAACCAACTACTTGTTTCGAAAAAAAATGTAAAATCAAATTTTATTTATTTTGCATTTGCATAAGTATGTAAGTATGGGATATATGGTTTGAAATTAAGTATACTACTCGAGAAAAATACTAGCTTTTTTTTAATACAAACATTACAGAGGCATTTGTGTATGTGTACACACACAAAAAGTTCAACCCCCCCCCACACATACCTAACCTAACCGACACATGGCTTTAGGTAAGGTAGATAGTAGAAAATCGCAAATGTAAACACGCGCACAGTGGCACGTATCGTTTTCAACATTTTAGCATTTATTATTATCATAAATTGTAAAGTTGAATGATAAAAACTATGGAAGAAAAAAAACAAAGTGAAAAAAAAGCAACAGAAGCGGAAGAGGAGCCAAATCGGAATGTCACTGCGACGACAGAAGCGGTCGTCGACTCCAGTAATACAAGCAATGTTATGGACACGGATGAGGTACCAGCGATCGCCGAGGATACTCCGGAACACGACCCGCCCAAAAACAGCAAAGACCCCGAGGCGTCCGCAGACGCGATAGGCGACGAACTGAGGTATTTTGACGTACTGGACGACCTCGAGCGACATACTACCAACCAGGATGCCTCGGAATCGGAGAGCTGCTCCAACGACAGCTCATGCTCGGAAGTGCCTCCAGACGAAGTTGACAACATGCTCGACGAAGCTCTACCGGATGAATTTAAGGGGCCAAAGAAGAAGGTGTATGAACAAAAGGTCAAGCTCGTCCTTGAGGAGTTGGGTCACAACCACTTTGACGTACTGCCTGAGGGCTGGTTACAGGTAGGAAACTGTTGTGATCATTTGACTTTGAAAGATTTGGAATTTTAATGAGGCATTAATTTTTAATCGGAACTTTGTGTTACAGGTGACTCACAACAGTGGCATGCCCCTGTATTTACACAAGCAATCTAGGGTGTGCACATTATCCAAGCCATATTTTCTCGGGCCAGGTAGCGTGAGGAAGCACGAAGTGCCTATAAGCGCCATTCCCTGTTTGCAATACAGAAGAGCCATGCAGGAGCAGGAAGAGGAGAAGCAGAAGGAAAAGGATGCAACGCAGACAGAGTCATGTACCTTTCCTAATGCTAAAATTGAGACTATACAGGAGAACAGAGCGACGCAGTCGATTGATGGCGAGGGTCTCAGGGAGTATTGTCAGAGCCTGTTTAGATTCAAATCCATCAAGGTAATGAGATTCAAGTCGTGGTCACAGAGAAGAAAATTTACGAAGAGTAAAAAACAGCGCAAGCAGTTGGAACGTCCAACGTTGCCAGATGGCACCAAACTGATTACGTTTCCTGTTACCAACAACTCGGCCAACGCTTCGACACTAGAAGAAGAGCAGTCTGCCAACAGACCGTTAAAGCACTGGATCATGAATCCATCGGGTAAGAGTTACGTATGTATTTTGCATGAGTATGTGCAGCATGCTTTAAAAAAGCAGCCCACATACAAATTTAAGGAATTGGAAAACGCTGCCACTCCGTATTCCGCTGTAGTTTATATCAACAATATGGAGTATGGCAGTGGATTTGGTAGTAGTAAGAAACAAGCCAAAGCCGATGCAGCAAAGAACACTCTGGAAATTTTAATACCACAGATGAAGGATAAAATATCTGGAGTTGTAAATGATGACGCTTCTAATTCTAGTCAAGTAGCAAAAAATTCGGAATTGAATTCAGATGGCGATCTGTCGTTCTTTGATGAGATTTCAATTTCTGATCCTAGAGTAGCTGACTTTTGTGCTAAAACAACTGAACCTTTACCTCACACTATTTTAATAACATGTTTACAAAGAAACTTTGGTCTTGGAGATATGCACATTAATTACTCAGTTAATACATTAAAGCATCAACGCAACGAGTTTACCATGAGAGTGGGTAAGCACGAGGCAACTGTCACGTGCAGAAATAAAAAGGATGGCAAGCAACGAGCTTCTCAAGCTATATTGCAGCTTTTGCACCCTCACATCCATTCTTGGGGTTCATTGCTAAGGCTTTATGGCACCAGAAGTGTTAAAACATTTAAAGAAAAGAAACAGCTAGAACAAGAGATAACTTTACTCCAGGGAAAGGCAGCTGTCAATCAACCTAATCATGCTATACTAGATAAATTACGTCAAGAGATGACAAAGTTGTCAGAGCAAAGGCTAGCAATAAGGCCCATTGGAAAATTCATTCCCCCAGATTTACCAACTAGATCATCCTCTAACTTGGACAATGTTGACTTGTAATGTGATAAACAAAATACCTGAAGTAATTTGTTTTTTAAATAGATGTATTGCCAATGAATTTTATACAAAGTTTAAAAGCGAAAAATTTTTAATGCTTAAATTTACAATTATTTAATGGGAATCGTTCCTCTTTGCAATACAAAAGACATTATGATGTTTGGATACCATCTTAATTAAGTATTAGGAGACTGAATCATTTTAGCTTGTACTTAAGCTATAATCACCTAATTTTTATGTAGTATTAAATACTTTTGTATTAATTATGAAATGAATCATCAATTTTACAACTGATAATTCTTGGTAAATTTTAATTGCAAGTACAAATACGAAATACATATTTGTAGGAATGTAGGAATAAAACTTTTAATAAAAATGTACCGACTTTTTGTCAAACTGCATAGTAATAAATTTTCACGTAAAACAATGAAAGTGAAAAGACTGAAAACAAAAAGTACTGTACAAATAACAGTAATTACGGAACATATTGACGGAGTGAATAGGTTATGCTACCACTATCGTACATGCAACGTATTTTGCAAGAAAATAAATTATCTACCTGTTAAAAAATCGCACAAATCGTGGTTTAGATTGTTAGAAGTATCGGGAGCCTTTCTTTTACTCATGACGATCCCGCGGACAGTTGCAAATCGCTGTGAACCGAATGTTGTTTTGGGAGAAGATACAAATATTTCATGCAGACAACGTTGATTCAAACAGAAATGCAATAACGAAGGAAACATCGTTGGAATGGCTGGATTGGTATTGGTTGGCTTCTTTGGTCCATGTCCAATACAAAAAGTGTGTGTGCGTTCGCTTCGTTACTTTCGTTAGTGTTTCTCGGCGACTAATTGCCGCATCAGTCGCATGCATTTGCACACACATAGAACTATTTCTAGTAAGTAACTATAAAAATGTATCCAATCCAACGGTTTACTTATACCTAGGAATCAACCCATATTTTTAATTAAAATTTACAAAATTAGGTTGGGTGCACTGATAATTACTAGGGTGAGCTTTTGAGCTTTTGTTAAAGTTTGTTGAATGACGTTGCTTGTAAAAATTTCAGACCCCAATACAATTATATATTTCATACATCTTTCATAATGTTAAGACAATGGCAATATATTGAATGAAGCACTCAGAAATGAGTCACATTCATTTTTCCCGCCAATAATCGGTCAAAATTGTGCTGAATAAAAAAAAGAGAGAATTATCATAATTAATTGACATGTTGACTTTTTTTCGTGTGTGGCATATACTTAGTATGAACTGGCTTCACACTTGCGTACCGACTTAGTCGCACAGGGTGAAACAAAATAAAATACGATCTTCATAATGATAAACGTTTTTACTAATCAGTATTTCAATCACATAAGTATCCAATTAAAGGTATTTCTTTTTCAACAACATTACAAAATTATGATTACATTCATATTGTAAATTGAACATTTCGATAGACTTTATATCGCAACATGGTTAAACTATAAGTATACAAAAATTTTCGTAGGCCTAGACTTTTTATTATTATTTTTATGTTGGAAGTGATTTTGATTTTGTTCATTGCTAGTATATCAAACATTTTCTCAAAAATGAAAAATCCGATATGCTGTGTGCGCGCACACGAGTATGTGCACTTATAATGCGCTCTTTACATCAGTAAAATACGTTGTCAGTATAAGTACATGGTGTTGTACAAGAGTTGCAAATAATCAAGCTTCTTACACGTTTCATTCATTGTATGTGGAAGATATGATGGATATATTATTAAAAAATGAATATCACTGTTTAAGTAAAAATTGTTTCGGTTGTAAATATTAAGTAACAAACTTTTCAAGTCTTTGATATATAAATATTAAAAAACGTTTCTTTGAATAACGATTTTTTAAATATTTAACTTTGTATTAAGGATTCATAAAGCTGATAAATTGTAAAAGTTAACATAATCTCTAATAAATAAATAGTATCCAAGATGGACGGAGATCTACGTAAATGAATAAATAAAATAAATAAATCGAAGTAAATCAACATGGTAACTGGCTAAAAGTACTAAAACTATAAGTACCTACAAAACGCGTCCAAGTATACATATACATATTCCTTTGTTTAACAGTAAGTTGGCAAGTTTTTACACATCTACATGAGATTTTTTAAGGGGGTAGGCAGGGGGAGGGGTCAAGTCTAAACTCTCTCGAATTATTAATTGTACAAGAAAAATAATCAAATGGGTACACGACTGTATGCCACATGATGGTTGCTCGTGCACGTACTGCAGAGACAACAAATAAGAAAGAGAGTCGTGATAAGCGCCACGACGCCTATAACGTAAATGTAAATCCAGAGTTGATAGAACCTATCTGGTGACCAGAGTACCGTGAAATCGAGGGTTTTCTCTTGCGTATCTGGAAATAAAACACGAATCATGCACAAACAACATATTTATACAATTAACGTAAAGAACGAAAGTATATGTATCATAATGTAATATGTAAGCACCTATGTACGCTAATCCGAAGCCCATGTTGGGAGTTCCCATTCTGTAAGAGCACGTCGGTATTTGTAATTCGTGTATATCACCCATGTCGAGCCTCAACTGGTACATTTGGGTCTTGTGGGGAGAAAGCACCCATACTTCGCTCAGCTGGTCGGTCGCCGTGTCCAAGCTCATGTGCATGGCCTTATGGTCGTGGGCAGTGAAAATAATCTGCGGAGACAGTTCCTTGAGCACCTGGGAAAACGCATTTATACACGCATTACATACGAATATATATACATATATGTGCTCGATCAAAAGACACAGTGTCACGTAAACATGTAATATACGTTTTGCACGAATGTTCCCGGAGTGAAGAGCAACGGCATGTGGCTGAGCACGACGTTCGTGGTGTTCCTTTCGGTGTAGTCGTTGAGAAACGCGTCTTTCGGTGCACTGGGAATAGTCTGCGTCAACCTATTGACCTTGAAAAACGTTGCCGAATTGTAAACCAGCGTATCCGACTGGGTGTAGGCAAAGTTGAATCTTCCGTGGATGTAGTTTGACACCAGGTCCTCTTCTCCTCCGATATCATTGTCTCCGGGCAGATAAATTTTCTAAAAAAAAACAAAAAAAAACAAAGATTCGGCAACCATTGTAGCGCCGTCGACCGTAATCTCTGATTCCATCCGATAAAATATGGCTCACCATAACGTGGTCCGGTGTGTCGAAGATCCTGGCAAACCTTCTCTTGTACTTTTCAAAGTCCTCGGCAGAGGCGATGTGCCCTTCGTCCATCAGGTCCCCGAGAAACGCAATGACATCTGGTTGGGTACGAGCTACGGCTCTCGAAAAAGTCTTTTGGAGATACCTACATAGATGGAGACCAAGAAAAATTGAGCCATTACATGGTTTATCAAAATCGATAATTTTTTATTAACATATTATATCATCCTACAGATGTACCTGTCACTGTCCCACAGAGCCCAGGAGGAGCCCCTGTAGTTCTCGTTCTGATAGCCAAGAATCTGCGGATCGGCCACGAGGAGGACCGTGACGCACTGGTGGCACTTTTTCGTGGTCCATTTGAAAGCTTGAATCTCGTAGGCGAGAAACTCATTGTACACAACAGTGATGGCCAACATGAGACCGATGAACGTAGCTTTATGCCTCGTTCTGCAAGCATTTAAAATTTTTTCTTCAACTTTTAACGCATCGGATTTTTAATTCACCTGTGCAATTTTGTTTTGGATGAAACTCAATAAAAATCCATTCCAGTGATCTTTTCCCATCAATGGTAGTATTGATTTGATTTCGATCATCTATTTGCGTACACATAATATGTATTAAATCGAGAGAAACTCATTGAATCGCACAAAAATGTAGCGCTAATCGAGGCTGATTGCATAATGATATGAGCCTCCTCGTCTTGAAAGGCGCACATTTTTATGCTCAACAAGTTATAGATAAAGATGATGCTGATCGCAGCTCTCTTACAAGTAGTGATACCGAGGTAATATTAACACACACCTGTTTCGCCTGATCATCTCTGCCCGCGAAGTGATTATTCCCTTGGTCCCTGCAGGAACTCGTCTTCTTTCTTCTTCTTTTCGTCGCGGCGGTCCTTTGCATAATCTCCGCGTCTTCTTCTCTATATTCTTTCACTCAACTTACGTATATGAGTATCACATTCTTTCACACCCAGATATACCTACATGTAGCTGCACACGCGAACATAAGAGGGATAATTATATTATAATTAAGTACAAGAGCGAGCAGCCACGATGGAGCTCTTGTTTCATCTCTTGGCCATCACATACACCCACGCTAAAGGATTTCGTTTGTGTGAGCTTTCGCACAACTATATTGCTGCTTACGTCGAGAGAACAGCTGATCTAGCGGTTCTTTTTTTTCCTTTGATTGTGTACATTTTGTTGCATCATGTACTGTACGATTACATAATGCTGAGATTATATTCATTTGTTTTAAAAAACCTTTATTATATTATACGTTTTATCGATATTTACATTCATGTGTCGCGGAGTTTTTAATACAACATATTTTGTTGTATCTGGTAAATACACATACTTTTAGATTTGAATTTTTAAATAATTATATTTTTTGTTACTTGCTCCGATTTACGACTTGAAAAAAAAAAACAGAGTTCGATTTGGGGAGGGGGGAGGTGGAAGCGCTTATTTGAAATCAAAGTTTTTTTTTCTATTTCTTTTTTTTACAAAGTAACTGCACAGCTGTATTTTTCATCAAAAGTACCTATAATAACATTTTAGTTACAATTTTTAAAAAATGCATATTGTATTACGAAAATAAGGTTATTCAAAACGAATTAGCCAAAGGAATAATTGTTTTTGTTTGCCTCAGCTCCAAGATAACTGTTAATGCCATTAATTTTTAATAAAAGTGTATTATATGGCCGCTCGATCATTTGGACGATGCTGCGGATAAGAATATATATGTATAATGTCCGAGAAGTGTACATATATATATATATATATATATATATATATACGAAACGCGAAATATATACACTTAAAGAGCGCGCAAAAGTCGATAGTAGTTTGACGTGCGCGCTGCCCGACTCCTCGTGTATACTTTATTCCTTCGACCTCCTGATTCGCGAATTAACAGTGCCGTGTGTGTTTCATCATCAGTCATCATCAGTGAGTCGATCAGTGTCACATAAGTCGATATGAAAGTGCGGTTGTATCACTCGTATACTGTACTGGCTGTCACATTATTTACCTCATTCTATGATTGTATCGAATTGTTACCGATTCCTCGATGATCATATCTAATCTTGCTTAAATCTCAGACGATGATTTATAATTACATCCAAGCAATCTCCATAGGTACGTCGTAAGCCGTAAGAGCGAGAATTCATTATTTAAATACTTATACCTACAGTGTGCAGATCTGCAGTGCATCAGCGCTAATCGTTCGTTCTGAATCAGAAATTTTACCGCTCCATTTTATACTTAGAACAGGTAGGTACCTATCATTCAGTGGCGTCTTTTCATTTGTCATCCGTATCGTATCATCGTGATATACGTGACATTGCTGCAGCACATGAGAGAGAGAGAGAGAGAGAGAGAGTATATAGGTAGACACAATAACAGGAGCAAGTCAGCAGAGAGAGAACACGTAAGTGTGTATATATTTTATTTTATGGTACGTACTTGAGTATTTACTTATTATGATGATCATCATCATCGAGCTATAAGTAAAAGTGTAAAAATACGAAGAATCGAACGAATCAATAACATTGTACATTTTACAGAGTGAATGACAGTGAGGGTATATGAACTCATGTCGCCATCACCAAGTTGTCCAGGCGCCAGTACTCGTACGTTTACTTCGTCGTCATTATCAACAACATATTATCTGCATCGATTAGCGGAATCGTCGTCGTCGTCGTTATCGAGTACAGTCTATTGTAATGCCACGACGACGTTATTAATTGTTAAATAGGAGTCCGTCGAACGTGTACGTGTTCGTCGACTTTATACAGACCGGCCTAAAGAACAAGAAAATGATGACGGGAGGGTCACAAACAGTGTAAGAAAAAGACGAGGAGTACGGAATCAAACCAAGAGTTACCTTCTCATCATTGATGCATCGTTATCCGCATCAATCTTAGGATATAATTCAAGTAAGCGAGTGCGAAAATCGAACGCACACTATTGTTCTCATATATATAACCTACATCTTCTCTCAAGAGTAGTGTAAGAGTGTTACAGAGTATGATTGTGTGCATGGATAAACCTTTATTTTCACATTTCTGTTTCGGAGCATCCTATCACGCTATCAGCATCTTATTTGCACATGTATATATATATATATATATATATATACAATACGTATGCATACATGCTCAGCTCAGCGTCTGCTACTAGTGCTATACTGATGCTTCTCTTTTATATACTTATGTTAGCGGCTGCAGCAGCAGCCAGTTGGTAATATTTTTTTTACTTGCCATTGCATATATATATACTTCTTCTCTCTTGCTTGCGCAATTATAAAGTATTGTTTTTTTCCTTTACAAAGTAGCAAATAATGGTATAGTAAAAGTACATGGACACGAGTATATGTAATGTATGTGTGTTTTTCTGTGTTGTGTTATGCTTATACACATACTCAATTACTCAATAGGTACTCATTGTCGTATTTGTCGTGTGAGTCGTGTCTGTTCTGTTTTTGTTGTCTGTCGTGTATTAAGTGTGAGATTAAGGTTCGACGAGTGTCACGGTTCCGGTTGTGGTACTCAGACTAAACATCAACGCCTGCTGCTCCGAAATGGAAAGGTGTTGCTGTGGTTTTAATTATGAAGCTTTAGGTTTTTTACAATCGTGGGGAAGAAATGAGAAAATTTGCGATCCACATAAGGATTTAACCTAAACGTTGTTGGTTTTGTTGGTAGTGATTTGTTAATCTTTCAATACGCGTGACTCATCTTACAGAATAACACACACGTCTTTCAATCCTCGTCTTAGCAGTTTTTAAATGTGGATGATACTAAAGAGAGTGTATTGTGCCTTTCTCTTGATAAAGTGTTTTAATAGTAGTGCATGATCTAATAGTAGACAAGACTTAACCATACATAAATTCAGTGCTGGATTTTATTATTATTATTTTTTTTTATTCAAATAATATATATGCGTTCTTACATGAGCTTTCTCTAAAGTTATAAAGCTCTTCTCTAAATGAGAAAATGTTCTCATAAGCATAAAATTTCATGTGAATTGTTAGATTTTTATGTGTGATGTACATAACAAATACTTAATGATTTATTTTATTAAAAGTGGTGTTACGTTTTTGTAGAAATCTGTTATGGCAGATACAGCTATAACTGTGGAAGAGGCAGAGCCCGAGTCGGAGCCTAGAAGGGCTAGCACAACAGAAAGTGCCCAGTCAACTGGGATACTTATGACACATTCCCATCCTCCGCCAAATTCTAATACAGCACTCGCAACATTAGGCTTTCATTTTAATCCAATGGAAGATTCAAGAAGAATTATAGCAAACAATCTTTCCAGCATAGGAGAAATCAGTCCTCTAATAAGTTTGTCTAGATCTGTAAGTTTGTTTTACAAACATCGTTAATAACGTAAATCATGTTAATTGATTAAAATAATATATAATATATTTTAGAGACCAGCCTTATCAATACAAGAATGGCTTAATCCAAATCACCAAAGACAATTGCAACCACTGAGTCCAGTAAATGAGCGAGATAGCGTAGGGATAAATATTGACAATCTCTCAAGCGCATCCAGCGAAACACATCAGTCTCCGAGTAGTGGTCATGAGCCTCGCTCGTTTGGAGAAAATTTTGTAAATAATTCCAGAGGGTCTGCAAGTAATGGAAATGCCAATGCAAACAGTAACAATAATGATGATCCCGAAGCAAATCCTTCGCAATCTCTTGCTTTGAATGCAGAAGCAAGGGCAACACAGAAAAGTTTAGAACATTACCTTCCATTTTTAACAATAATACTTACCAAATGTAAGTTTCACATTTTTATTCAAATTACATAACTTTTACCCGTTATTTCAATTTCCATCCAAATTACATTACAAATTTATTGTTGCAGTTGTATACGATAATGTATCTGAAATATTGAATTTCGTTCTATTAGTGGTCACATTTATTCAAGCTAATAACGATCTTAAAAGAGAAATTGTGAAACAACAAAATCGCAACTTCATGAGTTTATTTGGCATAATTTGCTACAGTCTTGGCTGTCTTGTTTTTATTAATTTTGTTTTCAAAGAGCCAATATTTATCTCGTATACCACTTTACCTATGACTTTATCCGAATTATTATGGATCATAGTAGTCTCAGATTACGTGCTAAAACTGACTACTGTTGCCGTAAAAGTTGTTTTAACATCCCTGCCAGCGGGGCTTCTTCCTTTGCAGAAAAGAGTACGTTTAAATATATTTTTGCCTTTACTTGCGAAAGTAAATTGTATAATTAAAAGAAAATTTCTTCATAACTGTTGTTGCAGGGAAAATTTTATTTACTGATAGAAGCTACTTCACAGCTTTATCGATGTTTTGTACCTGTAAAACCTTGGTTGCACTATCTCTACACAATCTATGATGGTCCTGACAAAGTGCTAGGAGTCATCCTATTCATAATGTACGGTATGCACAAGGGAGGTGACATTTTGTCACACATAAAATTGTTGCTGCAGGCTTTGTGGAAAGTCTTTCAAAATGTGGTATGTAATCATTTGATTGTTAATTAACCTTCAATTAGTAATTTTTTGCAATAAGCGGAAGAAAGTTAGGTGAATGTTTTTTCAGAATTTTTATTATATTTATAATTTTTTTTATTACAGTTGAAAATTCTATTGATAATTTTATTCTGTATACTATAATATAACAAGATCTAAGTAATTTTATGCAATCATTGTCTTTACAATTTCTATTATTTCTATATAACTTATTTGATAATAACAAAAGGAGTCTTGGACAAACTATGCATTTTTTAATTTCAGAGTTTAGGGGTATGCCCATCAAAGGAGCAAATCGTCGCTTCGGGCGGTGTATGTGCCATTTGTCACGAAGAGTACTCAGCCCCAGTTAAGCTTCTTTGTAAGCACATCTTCTGTGAAAGCTGTGTCACTACCTGGCTCGATCGAGAACGATCCTGTCCATTGTGTCGCGCGTCTATAACCGACGATCCTATCTACAGGGATGGTCACACAACGCATTTTATTCAATTGTATTAGATTTTCGACGATTACACATGTTTCTACTTTCAGAGTATCAAATATTTTTGTTTGGTTAAATGTAAGTAAGACCTTGATTACATTAGAAAATTGAGATTGACAATAGCATTTACATATTCTGAAAGTAGAAAAATTTAAACTCCAATGGTTTTTGTAAATAAGGCACGGGATGAAAGACTAGATAAAAATAAGGATCCAACTTTTGGTTGGATTTTTTATATTACTTAACGATCATGCTACTAGTGCTATACTGATGCTTCTCTTTTATATACTTATGTTAGCGGCTGCAGCAGCAGCCAGTTGGTAATATTTTTTTTACTTGCCATTGCATATATATATACTTCTTCTCTCTTGCTTGCGCAATTATAAAGTATTGTTTTTTTCCTTTACAAAGTAGCAAATAATGGTATAGTAAAAGTACATGGACACGAGTATATGTAATGTATGTGTGTTTTTCTGTGTTGTGTTATGCTTATACACATACTCAATTACTCAATANTAAATAAATAAGAAAAATCTATAATATTTAAATCGATATGCAATTAGATTAACTAATATGAAGAAAGTACTTACTACTTCAGCAAATAGGTTGTAAATTTTTTTGTCATCTACTTTAATTTTAAACCTCAAAAGACAAGTCGTGTATAATATTTGTACATAGTTAACATAAAACAAGAAATTTGTAAAGAGTTCTTATTGCCGTCGTTATACACTTACATGCTAATCATTAAGTTTATTTTTGTTATCAGATTTATAATTTTTCTTATTTAAATTTTGCAAATTTTACTTTTGTTTACAATAATGTTTTGCATGATAAACGTAGCTGTTAATAAAGTGTACAAAAAGGATAGTTTTTAGACAATAAAAAATAAACGTTTATTAAAATTTTTATAAAGTATGGTATGTTTTTGAAATAAATTCATGCCTGTACAATAATATTGCTTTTTCACTCTATTCCAATCATCAAAGATTCAAATTGTACCAATAAATGACAATAAAATCCTAAAAATTGAGTAAATAGTGATAGAAACTGATTCTTAAATGTATAATAGACTGACAGATTCACTTTCTTCTTAACTGTGACTGAAAATACTCCCCATCACTTCTTGTTGCTTGATTATTGATTTGTTGATGGCGTTCTCGACTCACAATTTCTTCGATAATCTCACCGTCACCTCTTATTAATCTAAAAAGAGTAAAATTTCTTTATCATACAAGTTTTTAGTTGTAAATTTCTTACTTAAAGTTGTAATACAAGTTCTTCAATGTCTAAGGAGTACGAAAATAGTGAAAAAACTCTTGTAACCCAGTACAGGAAATGGAATTTTTATGATAAATTGAAAAGTATTAGGTATGAGTTATGCCTATTTTTAAAAATCAAGACATTCGTTTGTTAGCCATTTCTGAATAAAACCGAACCCCTCATCTCTTTGTTCTCTTTCTTTTCAAAATCAATACTTATCAGGGAAAAAAATATTTTTCCGATTATAATAAACATGAACAAAAGCTACTTTACTGTAGGTTTATACAGTTTTCTTATAGTTACAAAAAAATGTTGAAATGTTCTATGTGAAATTTTTATTTAGCGTTTTAATTTGATGAATTAAATTTTATACATGATACTCTTACCTATGGCGACCAGAAGCTTCGTCGTAAATTTTTCTAATAATAGTTTGACGTTTTTCCCACTCCTTTTTAGATATAGGAGCCATTGCTTTTGCCCTCATTGACTTTTCCAACTTGATATCTTTGAGCAATCTATCCTCATCTGCTTCAATTTTAATAGAAATTTTTTTTTCTTCTGGAACAGTAGAATTTTTAAGTTTTTTTCCAAGCTTCTTTTTTAGCTTCTTTTTCTTTTTCTTCCTTTTTTTCTTTTCTTTCTTCTTTAATTTCTTAGCCAATTTCTTCTTTCTTTTCTTTTTCTTTTCTTCTTCAGAGCTTGTACTTGTGCTGGATTCATCGCTAGAATCATTGGAATCACTACTATCACTAGTTGAGCTTGAAGACGAAGAAGATGAGGAGGATGATGATGATGATTGGGATCTCTTCTTTGACTTTTTCTTTACAGTAACAGATTTTTCAACTTTACTTCCAGGTAGTTCAATTCTTTCTTGTTTGACTGGCTTTAGCACCGGTTTTGGCACCAACTTTGGTACCAGCTTTGGCGCTGGCTTTGGTACCGGCTTTGATACCAGCTTTACTGCCAACTTTGGTGCCTGCTTAGGTGCCGGCTCTGGCGATGATTCCGTAGACGATCTGTCACGCCTGGTTTTTTCGTCATAGTATCTGTCTTCTTTCGAATGTTTTACTTCTCTTGATCTTCCGGAATCTGAACTTCTTGTTTGACTACGATTTTGAGTGTAGCTTTCGCTCGAAGTACTCTGCTTCCAATACCTTTCGCCAGTGTTATATCTATTTCCAGTGTTAGCAGATCTCTCCTGAGGTTGTCTATTGTAATTTCCTTGGTTATTTCTACTGTTCCAATTTCCTTGAGATTTTTGGTTTTGAAATCTTCTGTTTTCATTGTTTTGATTCCAATTTCTGTTATTGTTGTTAGACATTCTATTTCTGTCAACAAATCCTCTTTGATTATACTGATTGTCTCTGTACTGAGGATTATTTCTGTCATTCCTATTGTCAAACCTATTATTATTCATCCTCTGATTATTAAAGTTCCTGTTTTGTTGAAATCTGTTATTCTGATTCCTTTGCTGCATCTGTCTGTTGTCATTTCCACGGTAATTGTTATCTTCATTTTGAAAAGTTCGCCTTCTGTCATAACTAGTATTTAGGCTACTTCTTCCAGCTCTAAAAATATTTAAACATCAAGATGCAATGCACTGCACAGTTTAACATGGTAACAGTCTAGTTTAACATTTGGTTACTACCTTTTATCACCCGAATGATTCCTACGCTTGGGTGACACTGAATCTTTGCTTCTACTAGACAGAGAATTTGATTCTAAGGAGGTCGCCTTTCTCTTGCGATATTTTTTTTCCGTTGAGCTGTCTGCCCTTGAAATGTGACTTCCTTTCCCACTCATTTTACAAAGTACTTTTATTCATAAAGATCTTTCTGCTGTTGGAAAAACAATGAAAAAAAAAATTTGTTGAGAAAATACATGATGGGCAGCATGAAAGATATTCATTCTCTTCAAACCATTCAAGCTCTCACAACATTCGTTTAATTCAATTTGCAAAATACATTACACTTTATTGAAGTGGCTTAAAACTTTTCGAAATTTGATGATCAATTGATATACTGTACTTACACTTGACGAAGTACAACAACAAATTGTAACGGTGATTTCATCTTGTTAAAAGAATTTTCATTGGTACAATAAACAAGATGAAGCACAAGCTAAGCAATCATAGAATAATACAACAATAATATGTTTAACACTTCTTATACCCATGAAACAAAAAATTGAAGATGTTGCGGATCAACAATAATAATAATGCGTGCTCGTACTTACAAACAAACACAAATCATCAAATACCGCAAAGTTACAATAAGTTTTCTTTAACGTACTAAATAACATTGTCAGCATAATCGGAACTTATAAATGAATATAGCGATGGACTCTCCGTATATAAGTTTGAAAGTGAAACGCAAATGTGCTTTTATTGAAAAATACACTCACCTTGCAATCAACATAACCCCAAAGTCGCGAGCTTATGTATAGGAATTTAGACCACGGGACAAGACTCTCATCTTCGGTACATAAGTATATTTACACAAATTCATCCAAATACCAAGCTTAATGGGTCGTATTACGAATTTTTTTCTTACTCAACTTTGGTTTCTTTCCCCACTAACTTATACTAAGGGGTACTGGGAACTGGGACCACATATAAGTGTTTCTATGTTCTCTTTCTATGCAGAGTCTGGCAGTAAGTATGCTATGCGTATATGCGTATGCAACATATATTACCTATACGTGCGCAGTTCTCAGTTCTCACTAAATTTCATGGTAAACTTCTGCTTTTGCCCAAGTGGTAAGATTAGATCGCGGGGAGAAAACACCAGGGAAGGAAAGATACTTAAATTATTTCTACATTGTTTATTGCTCATAGTAAAAAAATAGTATACATTTTTGGTTACTAAGTATATATATTACGTACAGCACTAGAGCAAACGATTGAAGTATATATATGTAATTACAGCTTTTCTTTTATGAATGAAGGTGTGTAGAGGGGAAACTGAAAAACCACCCCCTATAAAATCTTTGTGTTATTATATGTCAGGTGCTAGAACTAATGCACGCTTAGATGTTGGAAAATCATCACACCAGTATATTTTTCTCCTCCATCGATCCTAATCTCGTCAGCTTTTCTTTTGTTGTCAATTAAGTTGGTGTAAAGTTATACAAAGCATTATTTATGTTATCAAGTACGCGTTTATGTATGTATATTAGTGTTCATACCTCAAACGAGGTCAGAACCTAAAAAAAAGAAAAAAAATGTATGTATATTTAATGATGGAATGTGTGAGTGCCAACAAGTGGGCATTAATTATAACGACTTTAAAGTCTTCCGACTTACAAAAAAAAAAAAAAAAATTATTTTAAAACCAATTATTCAGTGCTTCTTATTTTTAAACTTTAGTTCAGTACTTGGGATTTCGTCACTTTCTTGGACTGTATATTACGAGATTTATTTTTTAACGTTATGTAGTTCAAATAAATAAATATTTATAAATGAAAAAAAAAACATTCAATCTCTCATGCAAAGTTTTAATTTAATTAATTTGAACTTTTGTACATATTTTTTTAATACTCGTACGCATAAATTTGTCATTTTCCCAGAATTTTTACGTAAACAGGCGATTTATCATACATTTTTTTTCACCGATAACGCGCTACTACACTCTTTCGGACAAGTTATCTCAAATGTCATAGCTATCACGAAAATAAAGGCAGTTGCACTCTCGTTACACCATCATATTTACGTTGAAGTCTTGCCGCACTCGACGAAAAATATATATTCCTGTTGGCCGAAAACTAACAAACATATTTTTGTTCTTTCTTCTGTAAGTGTGTATCATCTGTCGACTCTGACTTTAAGTATACATTTGTACACGTTGAAGCTTGGCCTACACATATCGCCGTCTACTTATCACTTAGGTTGATTTATTTTTGTACTTAAAAATGTTTTTTTCTTTTTTTTTTTTTTTTTTTAGTACAACCATATATTATTTAAAATTACGTGATCGTAACGATGAGTGTACTTTCAGGAACATTTTGTGACATTGTAATTGAATACAAAATATGATGGATACGTGCAATTAAATGTTTAATGTCTTTAAAACTTGAATAAATTATCGATGTACCACAATGGGGATTAATTATTACGTATCGTGTTACTTTCATCTATTATTTTGTAAAAAAAAAAAAAAAAAGGTTAAA